AAAGAGATCACTATGCTCTTAACATTCAGTTTCTAACATTCAAAATAGGATTATGATGTAAGGCAATATGCTCACAAGTCAGACCTTTTTGTCTTCTTTTAGAATATGAAGGACTAGGGCTAGACCATAAATTATAGATTTTAAAGAATGGAGGGTAGCAACCTTTTTCTTCCTGTCCCACAGGGTAGTTGTAAATAGAGAGGGAAAAGCTAAGTGAAATGTTCAGGTTTTCTTCTCTGTGATCTTCAGCCTGGAGGAAGAACAGTCATCAGGTGAGTGAGGGCAATGTTGAAGGCAGAGGAGGACCCTTTTGTCCTGTCCCAGCCTTGTTACACTTCCCATTTGAGGCTCTAGAGTAAGTTGCCTTGAAGAGTCCCCTGAATCGAAACACACTTGGTAATAAGGTACGGTGAGGCAGAGAGGGCTCTTTGCCCCCTTGGTTCCTGTGTGTGGACTCCAGATTTCTGACCTGCCTGGTCCCTGGGTGCCACGTGGATTCAAGTAAGCGGTCTTCCAAGTGTTACAATGTGGCACAAGCCACACACATCAACCTCATACATCTGGAGATCTTAAGTAAAAAATAAGGAAGAAAAAGCTGACTGAGAGGCCAGCCATTTGAACCAAGACAGACTAAACATGATTTGAAAGAAATGAACTGTTTTGAACCAGATTGAATGTTTAGTGAACTCTTTATAGACCTATATCCCAACTAGTGAGAGTTTCGTGAGGGAAATCAGACTTTAAAAAAAAAAAAGGCAGAAAGAAAGAACACAAGAAAAAGACAGAAAGGGAAGGAAGGAAAGAAAAAAAGGAGGAAAGAAAAAGAAGGAAGGAAAGTTAAGAAATATTCATTTTTTTGCACATCTCAATTGCAGTGTGAGTTAAATTTTTTATTCTGCTACAGTATGTGCTATATCATACTAAATAAAACTACAAGGTGGGTTCTTGAGTTTCAAACAGCTTCAAATATCAAACATAGGGACAGACTGAAAACAAAGAGGAAAAGAAACTGGACGAGTTCAAACCAGACTTGGGTATGGGACAAGAACTCAGCACAGGGCTGCCCAGGGCCGGGTGGGGCTAAGGACAGGATCCAGTTACAGCGGGTCTTTTCCACATCAGGCTCCTGAGAAGTTACAGGTGAAGGAAAGAGAAAATGGATCTACCTTAACCGTATCCTTCCATCTTATAACATAACTGTATTAGATTTTTTTAGAAAAGTAAAAGGCCTGCTTCGTAATTCATTTCTAGGAATATTCTCTTCTTTAGTGTAAATTGTTAAGAAATATCAGACCATCTTATGTAGAAAAGCTGACTCAATAATAGTAAATAAATAGAAGTATCGAAAATAAATTAGATAGGCTGTCATTAAGGATGTTTGGGAGCCTGACAAAATAGCCAGTTTGGGGGAGTTAGCACCCTCCAAGCTGAGCATGCAATATTTTTGTGTGGTTTGGAGGCAGGAGAAAGGTCCTTTCCTGTGAAGACTGGAACTGGGCAGGAGAGAGAGCACCCCCCACCCCTCCCGTGCCTGGGTACCCTACCCTTCAGCTGGGAATCTAGATAAACTAGGAAGAAGTGGCGATAGGAAGTTCTGTCAGGTTCTGATGCTGCAATAACTACTGGTATAACCTGTTCCACTAGTTGGGAACCCTGCAAAAGGGAATTTTGATATGTTGATTCTCTAATTAGCATTTGTAACATCTATGTGGGTTGATTTACACTACTGTAGAATCCATAAACATCAGCTTGGTGCCTCTTTTCCTTGCATAACCATTTGTATTTCACATGAATCATGCCATATTTTTACAGCATAAAGATTTGGGGAAAAACTATTTTCTAGTTTGTTTAAATACATGGAAACTATCTTGTTACACACTGATATGACAAGAGAAGCTTTCGTTTAAGTATTCATTTGTTGGGCACTTATGTGTTAATCACTGTTCTGACTACACGGGATACTGAGATCGAAGACATTCTCCTTGAACTCAATGCTTCTCTGGGTTCTTCTTTCTCTGGAGCTCAGGCTCCCCAACTCCTCCGAGGAACCTGCTTCCTTGGGCTCCAGCCTAAGGCTAGCTTCCCAGGAAATATCACAGTCCATAAAGATACGACACCCAAAAGGATGACTTTTTTTTTTTTTTGGATAACTTTTGTCATTAAGTTTAGCTCTGTACTGTCTTGAACCTCTTTGTTGCTAAATTGCATCTTGACCTTTTCTTTCCACAAGTCCACACTGTACTTTTATTTTGCTTTTAATCTGATTTATTGAGGTCTACTATACATATAATTTGCAGTTTACTGTGCAGTTCTGAGTTTTGACAAATACGTCATCCTGTTACTGCCATCACAATCAAGAGGGAGAGCAGTTTCTCCACTCTCGAAAATTCCTCATCTCCTTTTGTAGTCAACCTCTTCATACCATCAGCCCCAGGCAAATACTGACCCATTTTTTGTCTATAGTTTTCCCTATTCTAGGATGTTATATAAATGGAATCATAGCTAGCATTTTATATCTGATTTCTTTCATTTAGCACAATGAAATTGATATTCATCCATGTTGTTATTTCCATTGTATGGATATACTGCAGTTGATTTATCCATTTACCAGTCGAAGAATATTTGAGTTTCTTGTTTTTGGTGATTAGGATCAAAGCCACTTTAACATTTGCATACAGGTCTTTGAATATAAGTTTTCATTTCTCTTGGGTCATTATCTAGGGATTGCTGAGTTGTATGATAAGCAAATGCTTAATATTATACACAACAGTAAATTATTTTCCAAAGTGGTTGTACCATTTTGCATTCCTACCAACAAAGTATGGGAGTTCTAACTAGCCTATATCATCACCAGCACTTGGTATTGTCAGTGATTGTGGAGTTTTAAAAAAAACCTTATTCATGTTAATGGGTGTGTAGAAGTACCCCAGTGTAGTTTAATTTTTCATTTCCTAATGACTCATGATGTTGAGAATCTTTTCATGTGCTTATCTCTTTCTAGTGAAATGTCTGTTCAATTATTTTGCCATTTAATGAATTGTTTGCTTTATTATTGGGTTTTGAGAATTCTTTACATATTCTAGATCCAAGTTCTTTATCAGAAATATGCTTTGCAAATATTTTCTCCCAAGTCTGTAGTGTATCTTTTCATTTTCTTAAATAGTTTCCGTCTTAGTCAGTTTTGGCTGCTCTAACAAAATACCATCAACTGGGTGTATTAAACAACAGACATTTATTTCTCACAGTTCTGGAGACTGTAAGTCCAAGATCAGGTGCCAGCAGTTTCTGGTGAGAGCCCTCCTTCTGGCTTGTAGGTGGCCATCATTTTACTATGTTCTCATATTGGGAGAGACAGATCAAGCTCTCTGGTCTCTTCTTACAAAGGTGCTAATCCTATCATAAGCATCCCACCTTCATGATCTCATCTAATTACTTCCCAAATTCCCATCTTCAAATACACTGAGGAGTAGGGCTTCAACATATAAATTTCAGAGGGGATACAATTCAGTCTGTAGCATTATTTCTAAAGAAAGTTCTTAATTTTGATGAAGTACAAATTATGAATATCTCTTTTATGGATGCCTTTGGTGTCATATCGGAGAAACCGATGCCTAATCCAAGATCACAAATATTTTTATTTATGTTTTCTTCTACACTTGCAGGTGTTTTTATTTAGATCTACATTCCATTTTGAGTTGTTATATATGGTGCTAGGTATAGATAAAGGATTATTATTAGTATTGGTATGTCAAATTGTAGCAGCACCATTTGTTTAAAGACTATCTTTTCTCCATTCAATTGCCTTTGCAAATTTTTAAAAGTCGATTAACCATAACATGTAGGTCAATTTCTAGCTTTTCTATTCTGTCTCATTGATCTGTGTTTATGCTTTTAACAATACCACACTCTGATTACTGTGGCTTTATCCTAAGTCTTAAAATTAAATGGTGTAATTCCTCCACTTTTTAAAATAATTATTTTGATTTTCATAGTCCTTTGCATTTCCATATAAATTTTAAAATCAGCCTGTCAATTTCTACTGAAAAAAAAAAAGGCTTCTGGTATTTTGATTGGGATTTCATTTAATCTATATAAATCAATTTGAAGAGAATTGACATCTTAACAATATAGTCTTCTGCTCCATGATCATGGCATTTCTATTCTTTCTCCCTTTTTTTTTTTGGTGAGCCATCCTGCCACCTGTTGGTAGCTCAGCGGCAGCTCAGCTCGGGCTGGGCATCAAGCCGCTGTTGCTCAGAGCTCAAACTCTTGAGCAAGCTCTTAACCAACTGAGCCACTCGGCCAGCCCAGCATTTCTATTCTTTTAAATCTTCTTTAACTCCCTCAGTAACATTTGTTATAGGTCTTACACATCTTTTGCTTAACTTATCCCTAAATATTTTATATTTTATATTTTACACAGTATTGCTTTTAAATTCGATTTCTGATTCTTCACTGCTAGTATAAAATTGATTTTGTATACTGTATTGACCTTTAATCCTGTGAATTTGCTCAACTCACTTATTCAAATAGATTTTTGTAGACTCCTTAGGATTGTCCGTGAATAAAGCCAGTTACTTCTTCCTTTCCAATTTAACTATCTCTTATTGACTTCTTTTGATTTTATCGGTTGCACTAACTAGAACCTCCAGAAATATGACTAAAAGTGCTGAGAATGAACATCCTTGCTTCTCTCAAGTTTTCATCTTTCACCATTGTATTAGTTTGCTAGGGCTGCCATAACAAAGCACCACAGACTGGGGGCTTAAACAACAGAAATTTATTTTCTCACAGTGTTGGAGTCTAACAGTCTGAAATCAAGGTGTCATCGGGGCTGGTTTTTCTGAGGCCTCTTTCCTTGGCTTGCAGATGGCTGTCTTCTCCCTGTGTCCTTCACATGGTCTTCCCTGTGTGTGTCTTAATCTCTTCCTCTTTAAGGACAACAGTCATATTGGATTAGACCCACCCTAACAACCTCTTTTTAATTTAATTACCTGTTTATAGACCTTATCTACAAAAACAATCACATTATGAGGTATGAGTAACAACAATTAAATATGCCAGCTATAAGTCTTCAAAAATTGTTAAAATTTCCTTTCATTTCTAGTTTGCTTAAAGATTTTGTTTAAATCATGGATGAGTGCTGAATTTTCTCAATTTTTTTCCTGCATCCATTATGATGATTGTATGCATTTCCATTTTCCATCTGTTAATATGGTGAATTACACTGATTTTTTCCAATTTTAAACCAGCGTTGTATTTCTGGGAATAACCTATTCAGTCATGAAATATCCTTTTTATATGTCGGCAATTTTTATTTGTGAAAATATTACAGAATATCTTTGTGCTGCACCACACACTGAAGATGTGTTTGTAAGTAGGAGAGATGCTATATAAAAAAAAGCTTAATCAAAACTCATTTACTATAAAAAACAGAATAAACATATTCCTTCAAAATATGCAAATATCAAAATTAACAGTTCAAAGAACTGAAAGCGGATGGAAGCAGGACTAGAGGGTAAGGTTGTTCTTGTTGCCATTTTTTGTACCATTTGACCTCTTTAAATTAATGTGCACATTACTTCTGTAGAAGTAAAACAATTTATGTTAATTAAAAAAAGTAAATCCTCCCCACCCAAATACTAGTTGTTTTTAGTTTGTCTCAGTTACAACTCTGATTCAGCTGGGATCAGCTGTGTTGGTGCATGGTGTGCAAACAACTGTAACAGTGACTGTTTTTTTCTCCTGACTAGGTAAATGACTCCCAGAATAATTTACTGTTTAGTTCTTATTTCTCCCCAGGATTTGTGAGTTCTGTTATTTATATTAGAGTATTCCTATACTATCTATCCTTGCCCTAGTACCACACTGATTTGAGCTACAGTGAAAATGAGTTTACTGTGGTGGAGAAAAAGCAATAGAATGTACAAAGGCGCAGGTTTATAAAAGCTGGTGGCCAGTAAATGTATGGTTTGGAGGAATCTGCGAATAGATAAGATAAAGAATGTTGCAAGCCCAACAGTAAGGGGCATTAGTCAAAACGAAGCCCTTGATACCTATTCCTTCCGGAGCAAACACGACGCTTCACAAGCTGAAACCCCTTGGTGGGACAGAGACACCGAGGATGAGCCAGCAGAGGCCGAGGGGCTCGCGCGCTGTGATTTCCGGCGCCTGCGCAAGCACAGGAAGCATGGCGGTGGCCTGGGGGCGTGGCGCACGTCACTTACAGCTGTAGCCCGCCGCATCACCTCGCGGCATGACGGCCAGCGCGGAGCCGCGAACGCGGCGGCCCGGAGTCGGGGTAGGAGTGGTCGTGACTAGCTGCAGGCATCCTCGCTGTGTCCTCCTGGGGAAGAGGAAAGGGTCATTTGGAGCGGGCGGTTTCCAACTTCCGGGGGGTCACTTGGAGTTCGGGTGAGCAGCCCCCTAGCCGACCCGGGGAAAGCCTAACGTGCGCAGAACGAGCTCGCGCCCTCGGAGCGTACGCCCGTGCGTACGAGCGCCGACGCTGCGTCGTTGGTCGCGCGTTCCTTTGTTCATCCCCCTCGGGCCGCTGTATGTGATTTTCCCCAGTTGTCTTGAAAATACCCTTTTGCTGTGTTGTACCAATCGATATCAAAGGAAGGGCACATATTGCATGTGGTTAATACATTTGTTAAATCTCTCAATCTTAACTGACTCCACTCTCTCTTCCCCGATGCTATGTTGAAGACTGTGGGTCCACCTATTTCTTACAAAAATGATAGAAGTAGGGGCTCAGTCCTAGTGCCTTTCAATCAGACTTTGTTCTTTATAAACTATGGAATTCTTACGATCTTTTAACACATGGACATTTTTGAAATGGTCTTCAGAATTTTCAATAAATTCTAGCTTCAATTATAGCTTCAAACTTATTATAGCTTCAATAAGTTTATCGTTTTCAGATAATTAAGATAAGCCATCAGTTAATAAATAAAATTTCTGTATTAAAAAGCAAATGGCCCAGACAGATACACCATATTGTACTTTGTCAATTGTTGGTGGGCATTTAGCCAAACTTTGATCACAAACTAAGCACTAGTTAGAATGTATAATTGCAAAAGATAGTGTTGGAGCCTTGACTCAGCAACGAAGTGCCAGCATGAACTTTAATGAGCTTTTTACTAAGTGCTAAATATTATGCTAAGCTCTTCACATGTGTTCTTTTACTTATTTTTGTATAACTGATATACTGAGTGGGCTAAATTTGATGGAAAACTAACAGGAAATGGCTTTATTTTCTCCTTCTGTTGTCTTGAAACATGATTTGTCTCCCTTCTTTGCTACTCTATGACATTCCCTGCAAATTCTATTATTTTCCTGTCTCATGATTATAAAAATAAATCACATTTTGGTCATTATGATCCACTTCCAAGCATTTATCTCTCTCCTGTGGTGGGGAAGGGAGGCGTGGGCCATTGTTTTGTTCTTTCTCCACCTTCTCTCACTGTTTCTGGCTTCTTTCCTTTTCCATTGTGTTGGGGAAGGGGCAAACCTTTCACAGGACTGGTTCTGCTGTGGTCCATCCATCGCTGCCCTCTGGGTGTGGTATTCACATGTACTCTCTTTCTCAGGGTATGCTTGTTGGTAATCTGGAAGTCCTTCAAGGATTTCTACACTGCACAGTTCCCTGACATAGGTGGCTGACTTATTGTGATGCTGACCACCCCCTCCACTAGCTCTAGCTTTTAGCACATCACCCGACATTTTTTTTCTGCTGGGGTTCCCAGCAGTCTGTTATAGCGTTTGCTTGGCCCAAAGGAAATTCACAATGGGAAATAATGCTTTCACTGCTGCCCTTTTTCCTTGCTCAACCACTGCGCTGCTCTAGCCAGTCTCCTTCCTTTCAAATTCCCACAGTGGGAATAAACACCAACCTCTGTATTCACGTGCATCCCTACACACCAAGCAACACATTTCAGACTTACTCAAGAGCTCTTAACCCTCCTACCACCTACTCTGATACACTGGGGGTAGGCCTGTGAGTCTGCAACTTACCATGCATGTCTTCAGCAGGGAAGTAACACGCCAGTATCTCCTTCTTGGGAGTCACACCCAGTCTCTAGGACTAATTCTCCTGGAGCACCCCTCACTGGCTTGGCAGCAGAGTTGGCCTCTCATCGAGAGGAAGGGAAACATTCCTACAGGCTGAAAACTCACAACATTCCTCCCTATCAAAGATCTGTCTTTCTATGTAGACTGGATGGGGTAAGGGTCAGGACTAAACTGGTCTTCCTTAACAAACCCTCAAGTTCACATGGTATCTCTTTGCTCTTTTTGTCCTCTTTGGAATTTAGAGGTGTGTATTGCCTATTGTTCTCCAATTGTGAGGCTTAAACTGAAAATCTGAGACTACAGAAAAAGACATAATCCAGTTCTTGATACATTACAACAACCCCATGAGACACTAACACTGTTCTCTTTTTACTTATCCAAGGTAGAAAGCAATAAACTTCGAACTCAAACCTAGGTCTAGTTGACTCCAAAGCCTGTGCTCTTAACTAATATATTAAATTGCCTCCTGATTACAAACCGCTTCCAGGCATGTGAACTAGTGCTGAAATGGCTGAATGTTCACTTTGTTGTTGTTCAAAATGAAGTCCTTTTTTCTTCAGATAACTAGATACAGTATATACAGAGTGTCAAAAGCAGGGCTTGATTTATTGTTTTAAAGCATGAACCCATTACAGTTCTTTTTGCTTTACACTAGAAATTGCTAGCCAAGAATTTCTGGCAAAAAAATTTATGTAAATAGAATTGAATATAATAGTGTGTTTCTGTTTTCCAGTGAAAGCTGGGAAGAATGTGCTCAAAGAGAAACCTGGGAAGAAGCAGCGCTTCACCTGAAAAATGTTCGGTTTGCCTCAGTTGTGAATTCTTTCGTTGAGAAAGAGAATTACCATTATGTCACTATATTAATGAAAGGAGAGGTGGATGTGACTCATGATTCAGAACCAAAGAATGTAGAGCCTGAAAAAAATGAAAGTAAGAGAATTATCTATAATAATATATATATACTTTTTTTTTTTTTTTTTTTTTTTTTTTTTGAGGAGAGCATATCATCTGAAGGTTGTGTTGCCAGGTGAGGAGAATTCGATTCTCTTCATATAGAAATGTAAATAGACTTAAATTCTGGAGTCCTAAGGAAATAGCAGGAAAGGAAACTGGCTCTGGAGCCAGACTACTGGGTTTGCCTTCTGATTCTTCCACTTAGAGCTTTGTGACCTTGAGCAAGTTATCATCATCTCTAAGCCTCTTTTCTCATCTATGATAATAGTAACTGCCTTAGATGGTTGTTGTAAGGGTAAAATAAGTTAATACTTATAAAGAACCTAATGAGCACAGTAGGTATTCAGTAAATGTTAATTTTCTTATTGGTGTTTAATTTTATTACAAACTATGATTTTTAGCAAAATATTAAACTGCCTCCCTCAGTTTTCTCACCTGTGCAAGAGAGGTAGTAACTTTTATAGAGAGTGATTAACCTGACAAAACAGTTGGATTGAGTGCTCTGAGAGCTTTAATGGCAATAGCTGATATTTATTATTTACTGCATGTTAAACATTGTTCTAAGGGTTTTGCATGTATCATCTCTATTCAAATTTCATAAAATTCCATGGGAAAAGGAACTAAAGAGAAAAATATGAAACTTACTGAATATATTATTTGCCATATGAAACCTTATTCAGGAGGTCTGGTGTACTGGACCTCCCCTCTAAACACTTAATTTCTTTTCTAATGTGGAAGAATCTTTTCATGCAACAAATACTCATTGAGTACTGTGTGCTGGACACTGTTCTAGGCAGGCACTGAAGAAACAGTGGTGTGTAGAACCAAGTCCCTGCCCTCTTGGACTTTACATTTTAGTGGGGACAAAGGCAGCAAATTAGCAGATGTTTTGTAATAGTAATGATAAGGAATAAGAAAAATAAAGCTGTGTAAGGGCAATGGTGCATGTGTACTGTATCAGGGTGGTCAGGAAGGGCCTCTGAGAAGGGGACACGAATGCAGAGGCCTGGAGGAAGTGATATTTGTAGAATGACTAAATCATGTCTAAAGATCGATTTGACTGAATGAACAGATGGGCATGTTCCACCTGAAAGCCTGTTGAGTAATATAAAATATTTTATAAAATAAGTAACTACTTGGAATCACCTAAAACAGCGGTTCTCAACCTGTGGGTCACGACCCCTTTGGGGGTCGAATGACCTTTTCCCAGGGGTCGCCTAAGACCATCGGAAAACAAAAAGATACTTACATTATGATTCATAACAGTAGCAAAATTACAGTTATAGAGTAGCAACGAAAATAATTTTGTGGTTGGGGGTCACCACAACATGAGGAACTGTATTAAGGGGTCGCAGCATTAGGAAGGTTGAGAACCGCTGATCTAAAAGGAACTAGCAAAATTTGAGCTGTATTTACTCACACTTCAGAAACCAAATGTGTGGGTTCTTTCCTCATACCAAACAATTCTTCAACTCTCCAAACATCAGTTGGCTGTCCTATAATTTAATTCAATTCTAACAGTGTCTGCCTAAAGTTAGGGTGGGATCGCAAAAGTTAAAGAGCTCATTTTCACAGACTGCCTCCACTTCAAATGCCACCAGGAAGTCCTGGCCTCCTGTAATTTTGACCATACGGATTTAAATTGGGGGTTCCCACAACCCCCTTCTCAGGTTCAATAATTTGCTAAATTGGGCCACAGAACTCAGGAAAATACTGACATTACTAGTTTATTATAAAGGATATAATAAATGGAAGAGATGCAAAGGTCAAGGTATGGGGAGGGGGTATGGCACTTTCATGCTCTCGCCAGGCAGGCATGCCACCCTCTCAGCCCCTCGATGTGTTCACCAACTCGGAAGCTCTCCAGTCCAAGTTGTGCAGCGTTTTTATGAAGGTTCCACTATGTAAGAACCTATGGTTGATTAAATCATTGTCAATCTGTGATTAACTCATTAATCTCAATCTTCCCCTCCCTTGCCCTAGGTAGGGCCCGGGTGGTGGGGCTTAAAGTTCCAACCCTGTAATCATGCCTGGGTCTTTCTGTTGACCAGCCCCCATCCTGAATCTATCTAGGGGCTCCCAGCCACCATTCATCTCATTAGCGTAAACTCAGGTATGGTTGAAAGGGGCATATTGTAGATAACAAAAGATGCTCCTCTCATCTCTATCACACAGGAAATTATAAAGTCTTTAAGAACTCTGTTCTAGGAAAAAGGAATGAAAACCAAATATATACTCGTGTGATATCACAATATTACACAAAGAAACACCCCAAAAATATCCAAAGGCCTTTAATTAGCCTAGGGTACTATTAAAATTATTCATGCCTAAAGAAGTGGAAGGCAGGAAACATAGGTAAGAACTGTGCCAGGTTTGTTGGGGGTGTTCTCTACAAGTCCCTCCTAGCTCTCACATCCCTCATTATCCCAGATAAAATGAGGAACAGGAGAGGGGAGAGCCCAGGACAATAATAGTGGAAACAAAAATCAATAGTCTTGACATTATGAAGCTGTAGGGAAAAGCAGTTGATTAATTGGCTTTTTAGTATTAAATTGAAATTTAAATATGTATATTTCTATTTTAGTACTTTTTGTAGGACTCAATTTACTTTTTTCGGAAACAAAATAGATTACATATAACTGATTTTTTAAAAATTAATTTCGAGGTGTAATTTATTCCAGTAATAGCACAGATTATTACTAAGATAGGGCACGCGAATGAAAATTTTCTTATTTTTATCTTTTCTATGGGCAAAATATCCTGAGACTGAAAGAGACAAACTTGATGAGATCGTTTTTGTTTTTTTTTCTGCTTAGTATCCTTCATGAGCAGCAGATACGGAAAGCACTCCTTGGTAGAGAAGGCGCTGAGGACACAGCTTTTATGGAACAAGTCTCATTCACCCAGCAGGCCGCTTGCCGTCTTCTATCTATCACGTCTTCCTCCTACCCTATCTGGCCTCTGCAGAGATTTGAGTTGCTGAACTTTGGTTCAGATAGAAACTTCTCATCTTGTTTTTCTGAGTTGCAGACCAGTATTCTAGTTACCTTCTAGACAGCTTCCCCTAATGCTCAGAGAGCATCTCAAGTTCAGCTCAACTTCATATCATACCTTTTTTCCTTTAATGAACTTTGAATCCATAAAGAACAGATATTTTGGCTCATTCATCTTTGACTCTTCCCGGCCTGACACTGCCTGGCTCCTAATCAGGGTTAGAATATGTTGAAGAAAGGAACAAGGGAATGAATCTACAAGCAAACCTCTTTCTGTGAGGTTCTCTAACATGGTATCTAGGTTGGCTTACTTTTTAAATAACAACTTCTTTTTTTTTTTTAACTTTTATTGGGGAACAGTGTGTTTTTCCAGGACCCATCAGCTCCAAGTCAAGTAGTTGTTTCATTCTAGTTGTGAAGGGCAGTGCATCTCAGTGGCCCATGCAGGTTTGAACCAGCAACCTTGGTGTTATGAGCACTGCGCTCTAACCAACTGAGCTAACTGGCCGCCCCTTCAAATAACTTCTAAAAGATTATTATTCTACTTTATGAAGTTCTATATTAGAGTTTTTGTTACTATATTATTGTATTGTTTTTTTCTATTAGAATAGTTTTTTATGCTTTGTGATGTTTTTTAGTCATTTATATAACTTTTTGAGTTTGTCTACCTTCATTTTGCTGACTTTCTGACATGCTATAATAGTAACCTCAAACCAAGCGGTATGATTTTACAAGGCCCAATGTTACTAGCAACAAATCAGGTTTGATCAGAAATATCTGTTCCTCTCTCTATCCCTTAGTAAAAATATAGCAGGAACTATTTTCATTTTTTGCCCAGTTGAGAGCTCTTGCTGATAACCAGCTGCAGCCTGGCCAAAGTGCAATGCTTGGTGGGTCTTTGTTTTATTTCTAATAGAGAGATGCAGTCTCTGTCCGATGTCCATCAGATCCTGGATGTGGATGTCCTGCTTCAGTTTACCAGTCACTCACCTTTTCTCCAGGCTTCCGATCATCACTCAGAGGGTCATCCAGACACTTACTTTTCTAGGAGACAGGAGAAACTTTACAGACAGCTCTCTTGAGACTCAGTTAATTCCTCATCTTGCAGCAGTTTGTTGGGCAGTATCTACCTATCATCTATCTATCTATCTATCTATCTATCTATCTATCTATCTATCTATCTATCTATCATCTATCTCCCTTCTCTTCCTCTCTCTCTCTCCCCTTCTCTCTCTGTTAGTGTGTGGACAGCATTGCTGGTTAGCTCCTGAACTTGTTCCAATTTCATGGATTCTACTTTAATGTTATTTACATTTAAATCACTAAAGAAAATTCCACTCCCTAGAATATTTTTCTAGGATTTCATGTATTTTACAACGAATAGACACTGTTAAACCTTTATTGTTTCAATAGATTTCTTTTAAAAATCAGCTCCTTCCGTATTTATCTTTCTAAGATATACCATGGCACGGAATATTTTTTATTCTCTGCATAGCTTCTATTACTTTTTTAAGAGATGGAGGAGAGCTTAGAAGTTGTGTACTGTACCTTATTTTATGGATGAGGAAACTGGTTTATTTTAATGTAGTGTAACCTGTAGTATATAAAGTTCTGTGCATTTTGTTTAGCCAAATATTTAAATAAAAATGGAATCATGCAACATCTGGGTTGTACCACAGTGTGGCCTTGTAAACTTGGCTTCATGTTCAGATAACGACATGTTTTCAATGATCATTATTATCTTCTTAAGATCTTCATTCTAAATGCAAATTATGTTTGTATAGCCACACTAATGCACAGCAGCAGCATTAGTGCGCTTTCTTATCAGTAGCAAATTCTTTTAAAGTTTAATTTATTTTTTCCAAGTATAGGTTAACTTGCCAAAATAAATATCCTTTGCTTCCTTTCAACTCAATAAATTGATTTGGTATCTTTTCTAGGTTGGGAGTGGGTTCCTTGGGAAGAATTTCCTCCACTGGAGCAGCTCTTCTGGCCACTGCGTTGTTTAAAGGAACAAGGCTATGACCCATTTAAAGAAGATGTGGATCATCTGGTAGGATACAAAGGAAGTCATCTCTGGATGGACAAGAAGATTCCCTGATGTTTTTTTCTTTTTTTAAAAGACAAAAAAAGGTCTGGTTAGAGAATATCTACATTTCAGAACAACTCCATTTTATCTAAAAAGTTCCATATCATTGCCAGTTTATTTTCAGTCTTCTTAATACACCTACCACCCTTTCAACTAGTATTTGCGAAAATTTTTCTGGGATTTTGTCATGAATTGTATTCCAGACTCACAAAACGTGCCAAGCTGTGATGTTGTGATCTGCTTTCCATATTTCTCTATGACATTTACTGTATAGTTTGTCATCACCAGCTTGAATGGAGTAGAGTGTAGTAGAATCTGCCTTAGTGTTTCCGTTCAAATGCTAACACTGTATGCCTATACTGTTTCCACAAAAATAAGACCCAGCCGGAAAAGAAGCCCTAGCATGATTCCTCCAGGATATGGGAGGCACGCACCCCTCACATGAGAGTTGTATGAACTGTTTCAGGGAGAAGGGTGCCTTTTCCACAAGCTCCTTAAGCTTAAAATATTCAGTATGCCAAGGTGCCATACTTTGACACCTAAAATCATGCAAGCGCTTATTTTCCAGCTAGGTCTTATTCTCGGGGAAACAGGGTAGTAGAGTATATCATGTTTGTTGATTTTCCTCTTTTGTTTTATCTAAAACAAAAACTTTTTGGTAATATATTGTGATAGTCCTTGAAACTAGAGTGAATGGGACAGGTTATTAGAGGATATTTCCATTTCCTAGGTTTCTGATTGGGAAGTGAGGCTAACCTTCTAGGATCTGTATTCTATCATTAACAGGCCATCTGATTTTGAATTTCTCACCTAATCTCTGTGAGATCCAGCATCCTTATATGTAAAATGAGATTACACTAGGGCAGTGGTTCTCAAAGTGTGGTCTGGGTTAAGTCCTTGGGACTTTCTGAGGATACTCAACATCAAAGCTGTTTCTGTAATACTAAGACATGATTTGCCTTTCTCACTCTTTCTTTCATGAGTTTTCCCTACGCTACGTGATGTGTGATATTATCAGACTGGAAGCCAAAGCAGCAGATAGGAGAATCCAGCTCTTCTATTAAACCAGACATTAATTTGAAAAAATGTAAAACAATGCCACTCTGCTCAGTTTTTTTAGCAGTTATTTTTCATAAAAGTTATGTTTACATGTGATGGGTTTTTGTTATTTGTAAATGTTATTTGAATTAATATAAGTCTTAAAATTTCTTAGTTTTAATTCTTAATATGATAAATATCACTAGATAAAATGCTACAAAAACTCTTTGGGGTACTCAGTAATTTTTAAGAGTATAAAGGGGTTCAAACCAAAAAGCTTAAGAACCTGGATTAGACCATAAGTTCACATCCTTTTCTTTATGAGCCCACTTCTGTAAAAGTCCATGCTTCTCCTAGAGCTGGTTACATTTGAATTTTGCCCTTTCAAAAGACTCAAGTACTATTGTAATACATGCTACAAAAGAATTTCCAATAACTGGATATCATTTTTTAAGTTCTTAAAATTTAAAAAGTTGTTTGTTTTTTCAAAATTGTAGTGTTTTCCATAGGTGCTGCCTGAACACATTCTTTTTTTCTCTTTCAGATAGACATTCTGCTCTGACTTGCTGCACACAATAGTCCCCCCAAACAGGGTCAGACTTGCTTATTTTGATATATGTACCATGTAAATGAGTCTCAGTATTCCTTTCAGTACTTCAGGGTCAAAGAATACATTTTTCAGTGTGGGAAAAGCAGCAATCTGAAAGCATGACATTTCTTTAAAAATTTACGCTAACTTTGGATTTCCACTTCCTGAGACCCATGTGTTTGACTATAGCACTTTTGTCCTATCTTTAATTAATCACATCTTTAAATTAACATTCATATATGTCTTTATTTGCCTTTGAATACCCTTTTGGCACCTGCCACAACTCTTGGGAGTTATTTTTTACCTTCATTTGAGAAGCAAGGGTTTTGCAGCAAGTGTTGAATTTAGTACTCGGTTCCTTAAATTTTATTTATTGTATTTAGCACTGTCTGGATTTGTTTTATACATTTGTTTATGCGCTTATTACCTGTCTCTTCCCTTCCCCTCTGCCTCAAAGTCCAGGAAGGCAGGCTCTTGCTGTTTGATTGCCGTATCCTTAGCACCTAGAAAGTGCTCAAACATGAGGAAGGAAAGGAAAAGATGGGGATGGGGCGGGGAGATAGCTGTGGGGGCACTAGACCACATTGGATATGGCAAATATTCCTTCTCACTAACTGACCTTGGAAACCTTTTCAACACAGTAACCAGCACCAGCTGAGTGATGATGCGTAATTGAAACCTATGCCAAATCAAATGCTAATATTTGATTCTATCTATTAGAAGGTAAGGCAGCTAAGACACTTGAAAGGTTTCAGCAAAAGATTTAGGGGAGAGTATTATTTAAGGAATATAAGAAGTAACCACTTTGTGGCAGCAGAACTCCTTTAAATGGCCATAAAGTGAAGGTTCAAAGAAAATAATTTTCCCATACAAACATTCTAATCATATCTATCATGACCAAAGAGTTGGTCTTATCAAAATTGCTGAAAAACTATATGTTTAAATGAGGATACAACAAACGTACTTGCTAACTGAAATTGAATTTACCAAATTCAGTAACATGGTCTTAAGTGTATTATATATATTGGTATACAAGGGACCTCAACAGGCAAATACATATACCAAATTAAATCTAAAATAAAATATAAAATAAAAAAGCAAATATCTCACAAGGCTAAACATTCATTAAACATTTAGTTAATTAAGAGTTTACACAGGCTCTTGGGTGATGTTAAGGCTGAATTGGGTCCCCCAAAAAATCCTGTTGGAACCCTAACCCCCCAGTACCTCAGAATGTGACTGCATTTGGAGATAAGGCCTTTAAACGGATGATTAAGTTAAAAGGCCACTGGGGTGGGCCCTAATCCAATACGACTGCTGTCATGAGAACAGGAAATGTGGACACACAAGAAACACCAGGGCTGCAGGTGCAGAGAAAAGGCCATATGAAGACACAGCAAGAAGGCCATCTGCAAGCCAGAGACTTGCTAAACCTCCCAGCACTTTGATGGGGGAATTCTAGCCTCCAGAACTATGTGAACATAAATTTGTTGTTTAAGCCATGAATCTGTTATTTTGTTACAGCAGCCCTAACAAACTAAACTAACAGGGGGCCTAAATCTCACAGCTTAAAAACTAATAGAATCAACAAATGTTTGCTATCATGGCTTCCCACACACTTTCCATGCCTGGCATCCCTGAATTGGAGTTTGGCAGCATCAAAACAATCTTTCAGAACCGAGTTCAAACTTTTCCACTCCTTGGCATTTTTTAAAATTTTTATTGTGGAATTGGGGGGATGGGAACAGTGCTGGGGAATTGGGGGAAGGAGAACAGACAAGTTGCTGTCCTTTTGTTCTTCAGTCTAGTTGTGGAAGATGTTGCTTCACTGGCCAAAGTTGGCACCATCATTGTGCTCTTCCCGGGCGAGGCAGATCAGTCGCCGGCTTCTGGACAGCCGCTCACTGCAGCTGCT